GGGAGCCCGATGTGGGACTCGATCCCGGGACTCCAGGATCATGACCTGAGCTGAAGGCAGTCGCTTAACCAACTGAGCCACCCAGGCGCCCCTAACCAAGTTGTTCTAATACTTCAGTCAAGGGGGTCTCCTTGCCTCACACCACTAATAGCACCCCAGTTTCCAAACCAGCTTCACCTGGCTCTACTCACCCCACCTTACATTTTCTCTCTTCCTCTAATTACTTAACACATATTCATCTCTGCATAGCAGAAATGAATGGGATCTGAAATTTTGTGTATGCTGTATTTCTTATTCTTGGAGTATGCTGAAGAAACTGAAGTAACTGGTAACTGCTTCCTTCTCACCTCATTAGGATACAACACTCTAAATTTCTCTGTAGGACTTTGGAAGCCTGAAAACCTGAGAGTCCTTCCAAGACGCAGCTCATTCTATTTCATCTAAGAGTATAAGGGCTTTTGAAGTTTGTAATGTGATGATAGATCCATTTGCTTCTCAAAGCAGACAGCAACCAAGCATTTAGATGACAGTTTCTACTCTTACCTCTATTGCTCGAATTACTTTTGAAAGTTCTTTAATAAGATGTCCAGGTCTGACATTGTCTGGGATCTCAAAGGCATGTTCAGATACAAGCTGTATTTGGATTAACAAAGATAAGACAACCAAAGTTATTTACACTGTAATAGACAAAAACTATTTACTAAACAAATTTTGGATTCTCTAGATTTTATAGACATAGCAAAATACTAGTAAGCCAGGTCTCAGAGTTCATGTAGTTGGTACAATACTCTTTAAGGAGATCCTTATTAACTTACAAAATCCTCTTAGCTTGAGTTAAAGATGGACTGTCTCACAGTGAATTTTGCTTTATACTGAGACGTAACCCTGTGTACTCTATCCCTTAAAGCCTACTGTGATTCTAACTACTACTATAATTAGTAAAGTAACTAATTAAGTCCAGCATTTAATTCATAATACATTAGGATTTATAAGTGGGAACACAGGCACTAAAAAAATGATCCTATTTCCTATGGGAGGTCTGATTTTGAATAAATTTTTGTAAGCTTTTTTTCTTTTACTAGGAAAAAGATCCCATCAATAGGACAGAGGAATCGCTGAGTTACCATATCTATCTAAATGCAAACTACTGCCGTTATTTCTTATGTCTATTTCTAAATAATAACCTTTGTATCTAAGAACATTTTAATTTTTTAGACGCATTCAATATGCTAGTTTTCACTTTTGCTTTACATCTTCTCCTTGGTTTTAGCATAATTTGTTAAAACAGACTAGTAACAACAGTAACAGTAAGTGCTAACTGTGTCAGTCAAGATTCTATACTGTAGCACTTTACGAGCATTAACTCATTAATCCTTTCAACAACACTATGACAGAGATTCTACTATTATGCTCATTTTACAATTGAGGGAACGAAAGCACAGAGGTTCGCTAGTTTATTGGCAGCACAGCTGAGATATGAACCCAAACATCTGACTCCAGAGTCCATGCTCTTGAGCACTGTGCTGAGCTGCCCTCTCCTGGTGGCGCAAGGTGAAGAGAGAGTTAAATGCAAACACCATGCTTTTGAAAGAGCACTTCAAATGTCATGAATTAACAGTATTTATCACTGATGTATCTTACTGTGCATCAAAATCACCTACAAAGTTTGTTAAAAACAGAGGTTCAGATCCCACCACCAATCTATTAAATCAGGATCTCTCAGGGAGGATCCAGGGAGTTTATTTTTTAAAAGATTCTGACAAACACACAAGTTTGAGAACAACTTATCTAAAGCCTTCAGCAGGTAACACATTATACGGTTTTTGCAACACATACTTTATTTTGTTATTACCTTGTTACACAGTTCTGTAATGGACTTACTCCCTTCATCTCCATGATGACCCCTCCGGCCCTCAAAGACCTGATTTCTACTTTCCTGATTGCTTCCACAGTGCCGTGCTCTAGTGCATACACAAGAGCAATGGTAATCAAGTGAAAGGAGTAGAAAGTTACTGGGAGGGTAACCTATTAATAACTGTCTCCAGTATCTAAGAGCAGGATTTTTATTTCAAGTGGACATTCAAAAAATTAGTATGGAAATATATTTTCATCAGCTCACGTATCTACCACTTGTTAAAGAGTGGCATGTAAAGTTCCAGGAGGGAAATAAAGAGGAGCAAGTCGCTGGTTTTCAAGAGCTCATAAACCTAGTGAAGGAGATAGGAATATATTACTTTACAGACATTACTTTTAAGTCCACTGGCACAAGAAATGTGCTACATAAGCAGAAGGGAAGGACACGGACATGCTGATTCCAAATGGGGATCTGGGATGACCTCTTGGAGGCAGAAGGATTCAAATGCTAACATCACATTTTAGTGAAAACTGAAAGCTCCTGCTTGCAACTTGACCTCCCTTTTCCTTCATTCTTATGAAAGTCTAGCAGATGGAAAGGAATGTGGGCTTTGCAGTCACAGAGACCGAGCTTTAGTCCGAGGTCCACCACAAAATCTTGGGCAAGTTACATAAAATTCTTTGAACCTCAGCTTCTCCATATGTAAAATGGGGATAACGAGAGCAGATGCGAGCTCCAAGTTATTTATTATTATCCTATAACTACATGTTCATTTCTTAGTCAATATCCTAAATACATCTGAATTACTTTCTTTTCCAGATTAAAGAAATACTTAGGTACTTTATTCTCATAAATATAAACATAAACCAGCACATTTGCATACACTATACAATAAAATGGAGGTTGTACCAAAAGCGTGATTTCCATTCCCTCGACTGCCACCACTCACGTGCTGCCAAAGCAGCATAAGGACTCTTGTTTTCGATCTTGCCATAGAAACAATAACAATTACTTCTCCAAAGAAAACGACTTACTTCCTTCTTCATCCATAACTTTAAAGCAGCGTGCAGTGCTTTCACTCCCTGTACTAGGTAAGTCTGAGGCTGGAAACCATCTTCTCTCAGTTCTGTGGGGATGGAAGTGGGTGGGGAAAGGAGTTAAAGTGCTCCGAAGGTACCAGGGTCAGCTTCAGATGCTGAGCAATCACCAACTATCAAACTGTGTAACTTCTGAATTCCCAGAGAGGGAAAAAGGTGAAATAAAAAGCAAGAAAGAAAAAGAAACGGAATGACATTAAACGTGGTGGTACCGAATGCTCCAAGTAAATGGAAGCTCACAAACGGTGCGGAGTAAGAGACAAGTCACGCGACAACGTGGGCATGGATCTATTCACGTGAACTCTAAAAATGGAAGCCATTAAACTACTGTATCGTTTGTGACACAGGCGATAAAACTGAAGAAAAGGATCACCACAGAAGTCAGGATAGGGGTTCTCTTCAGAAGGGAGGGAGGAGGGTGCAATGGGGAAAAATGACGGGATGTTTCAAAGGTACTGGCAAGGCTGAGCCAGTGGTACCAGTGACCCAGGTGAGCCTTATAATTAATATTTAAACTGTCAGAACCGTGTGTACGTATGCAGTGTGCGGTCTCTACAGTCAGCCACGGGCATGACACAGTTCACGAACGTGAAGGTAAACACACCACACACACACACACGCACCTTTCCCAGGTCTTTAACATTATCTGAAACTCACACAAAATATATTAGATACGGTCTAAAATTCAGGTAAGTTGAAGCAAAAGCAAAAGGTTTCACTTCTGTCCAATGCTAATTTACTCACATAAGTCCAAAATTAGTCCACTGTTTTATTATTACACTAAACACAGTTAAGTTTCATACAATCTCTCCTCATTTAACCCATCATATAAGCCTTGTAACAGTCTGACAGCTGGTAAATAACAGGCCACAGTGGCAAGTTAAAAGATCAGGGATGGAAGAACATAATGTGGCACGACAGGACCACCATCCCTGCTTCCAGGATGAATGCCTAGGAGGACGGCAATTGGTACAATGGTCATTTCACCCCAGCCTTAGTGGGACTGGACTGACCACTAGTACTGCCAGGTATCCTAACCTGTACTGATCCAGCTGATGAAATAAAAATATGCTAAAACCTGACCTACCAATATCCTTTTACAGTAATCTCTTTTAAGTCGTTAATGTATAGGGTCATCTATTCAATCAGACCTCAACATTTCTGAACTCTCAATGGCCTAAAACAAAGGCTAAATCGTTCTAAGACTAAGCAATTTGCTGTTTGTGGCTGCAAGAGGAACAGCAAGATTTTACCTTTCAGATAAATCCTTAATTTTGTTCTAAAAAGTTGACTGATGAACCCCCTCTTGGACATTAGGAAAAAGCATCACTTGAAGTGTGGGTGTATGTTAGTGAGGACAGAAAAGATGGAAAAAGACTCTGAACCTTCTGCGTACTGAATTGCCAGTCTCTTATCTGGAGGGTTCAGTAACCGGGTTTTATTTCCAAAACACAAGGACAACTACAAATTTTTTGTAAGTATTTGTAAGTGTTCCTATTTTTCTAGGCTTCTACTTGGATAGGAGACTGAAAACTTTACTGCCCATCACTCTACTAGAAGCTACATACGGCAACTCTATGTGTGGTCCCCTGTGAGATTCCTGCAGCCAAGACACCAAGACACACTCACTGAAGATGAGCTGCCTCAGCCTCACCAATACCTGAAAACATTGAGTAAGTCAGGGACTCAGGATAAGGATGCATTTTTGGAGAGAGACTGGTCTTGTGCAGAAAGAAGCCAATCCTCTTCATCCATGGGCTCCTTCTTCCATCATACATATATACCTGCACCACGTCAAGACATTGATCTCTATACTGCTGCACGGTGTGGGATGGGGCCCTACTGTTCCTTCCAAAGAGAACGAGGCTGTTTTTTGGTTTTGTTGTTTGCGGAGAAAATCATAAGTGATTTTATCATTTAATTCTGTGCATGCTACCCTGGGAAGTAAGTTATTGTTTCTTTTCATTTTACCTTTTCTTCTTGTGCAACTTTTAAATGGAAATTAAAAAAACCCATATGTTTAGAACAGACTTTACTGTTTAATCTGTTGTAATAGTAGCACTATTTGCAAACTGATTAGAAAAGTCAAACAACACAAACACCAGACAAACTGTGTTCTCATGGGCACAAGCAAAAGAACAAATGGAAGCAGACGCGACAATCAGTCTCCAATTTTGAAACCAAAGATAAAACACCAAAATCTGAAATTCCACATAAAAAAGGTAGCTAAGTTTAAATAAATGTCCCCTCCCAAAACCATTTTCTTCAACAGACTCGTAGCCTGACCTTCAGCTGGTTTGTGCTAACAGGTGCCTTGGACCAGCCAGCATCATAGTCGTAATGGTAATGGCACAAGCACTCCCTGCTTCTCTCAGGACATGAAAAAGTCCCTCGATTTTTTTTTTTAAGATTTTATTTATCTGACAGAGAGAGACACAGCGAGAGCAGGAACACAAGCAGGGGGAGTGGGAAAGGGAGAAGCAGGCTTCCCGCCGAGCAGGGAGCCCGACGCGGGGCTCAATCCCAGGACCCCGGGATCACGACCTGAGCCGAAGGCAGAAGCTTAACGACGGAGCCACCCAGGCGCCCCTTCCCTCGATTTTTTAAAGCAAATGTTTGGGAACACACATGACAGAAACAGTCCTGTAGCTTGAACTGCACTTTTGTGAGGGAGGCACGTTTACATGTCTGACAGTGTGTGCAGGCTGCTAGAGTCCAGGGTGAAATGAACATTTTTCAGTATTACCTGTGCTGTTCTGATGCAGCTCTTCATAGATCTGATTTTTAAGGCTACGGACTAGAGAGTCTGATGAGTTAAGAGGCTCCTGACAGGGGAAATCATGCATATTTTAAAAAACAAAACAGGAGCAATAGCTACACCATAATAATAATAAAGGAGCCCCTCTTTCTTTTTTTTTTTTTTTTTAAAGATTTTATTTATTTATTTGAGACAGAGAGAATGAGAGAGACAGAGAGCACATGAAAGGGGGGAGGGTCAGAGGGAGAAGCAGACTCCCTGCCGAGCAGGGAGCCCGATGCAGGACTCGATCCAGGGACTCCAGGATCATGACCTGAGCCGAAGGCAGTCGCTTAACCAACTGAGCCACCCAGGCACCCAGGAGCCCCTCTTTCTATCAGTGGCTTTTCACGAATTTACAAACATCACGCATCATAATGTATAGATTATTAATTACCTTTCAAGGTTTCCAGCAAATTTTTGGCTACAAACCAACATATGGCTTCAAAGAAAGGGAATTTGAAAAGATCTGGTGTTTTTAGCCTTTTTTCCATCTCATAACACCTAGAGAAATTTGAAGAAATTTAGTATTAATATTGGCATTTCCAAGTTAAATGGAGGCAACCAACTTAAGGAAAATAAAACGAGCACACATTTGAATAAGAATGAACTGTGATCTTATCCGGGGCTGACCTTAACAAATCTGACAGCATACTGAAGATTTACACTGGTCTTCCCAAAGATCAGAACCTTGGAATATGCATCGTCGTCTTAGCAGAAGGAATTTCACAAGGGTTCCACCATAACAAATAAAACAGTACGTGTAGAAAACAGCTCCCTGTGTTAGCACCACAACACCCACTCTGGGAGTCTTCTTTAGGCTCTACTAAGCATTCAAGCTCAAGGACACACTTGGCGCTGGTGGAGGTGAGAAGACAGGATCCACAGCCTGCCACAGTGTTATTCTTCTGTGGGAGTCCTGGCAGCAATCCCTACAGCCAGTAGTCCTCTTTCCCCCAGGGACACTCCAGGTAAAGAAGCAAGATTCACATTTGACGGTGTGGGAGGTGCCCTGGCTTCGAGCTTCATGACACTATTTCTCGAAATATCTCTACAGACACATAGCTTCCAGGGTTCCCTCGGGGCTTGCCAAGTTACAAGAGTCACCACACTCAGGAAAGCCCAAACATATGGATTCTCTAGTTCTCCCAGTCCTGAGGCAGTTAATCAGTCAGAAGTCATCTTACCTTAAACAGTGTAGCCTGGTAACATTCTACTCTCTTTAGGCTACCGGGGGAACAGAGTTACCCAAAGGTCAATCTCAGACATAAGGGAAAATAGATGTTAATCCTTTACCCACAGCAAAACTAAAGCAGCAATCCTAAATTCGGATTACTTTCCACCAGCACCGAGTCTGACTGGATTTGGTTCCTTTCCCTAACTATAAAAACAGCCAAAGGATAGAGCCCACACATTTTTATAAAATTTTGAAATTCAGGGATATATTTAGTGTCAAACTGAATAAATGACTCTTTTTGTTTTTAGACTTGAAATGCATCAAGGAGTCTTTCTAACAAAATCTTATGATAATACATTTGGTTTAAAGGTCCTATTCCTAATAATTCCTCAAGGCCTACCTCCATGAGATTGCAATTAAAATATATTGCTGAATTTATTTGTTTGAAACTTTAAAAATAATATCTTATTTAAGAAAAAACAAAAGATCGTTTAGATCCTGATGACACAAACCTGAGCTGCATGCCAATGTTAAGGTTATGCAGAAAGTTCCCCCCAAAAGCCATACAGTCCTGAGATGTGAGCACAGCATGAATCCACCCTGGAACAGTTAAAATATACATCAGTGAGTTTCCAATAGTTAAACCAAACAAATGTGATCTCTACCTGTGAAATGAGAAACTCAAAATACCAACACCAGTTTACTTCATACTCCACCAGAGCTGGAGAAGTTAATGCCTATTATAATCTAGAGACACATTCGTTCAAGTATTTATTAAATACCGATTATATGCCAGACTCTGTGCTGAGTTTCAGAAAACAAATGCATTGATCCAATCAGACAAAATCATGATACAGGATAGGTGATGGTTTTTGTGGTTGCTGCTGTTTTAGTTTTTTGGTTTAAAAACACAATCCAATTTCACATTCAAAATGTTACTCGAAGAGGAGTCAAATGCGGTAAAGAATAAAGTGAGCACATTTCCATTAAATGAACATGGGACTGGCTGTGCACTTCACTTCTTTAGTGTCATCCAGAAATGAGCAGTGCTCTGAGGGACTAAGCAAGGAGCAGGAGTGGAATTCAACTGGAGACCTGGCACTAAGAAGAAAAAGGGAGATCACCCACATTTCGCTGTGGAGGGCTATGGGTCCTAAGATACAAATGTTGGCAATTAAAATGATGTCTTATTTTCCCATAAATATGTTTTCAAAGTAAGAATCATTTCTAAAAGATGATGCCTAACTTTTGAAAACAAAATCCATAGACTGAACATAAAGCCTTCGTATAAAAATAAATATGTACAAATATGTTTGCGAGTAAAAATTAGCTATTAAAATAGATCCCATTTTCTTTATATTTTTCATTTTTTGAACCCTCACTATGCTATGACACGGAAAAAATTCCGTTAAAGACTGACTTTCAAGTGGTGCCATTTGTGTGCTCAAAGGCACAAAGCCTTGAGCTTCACCCTGAAATCACAAATGAAAAATTTTTGTCAGCTACAAATCCTACCGATCAATGGTTCTCAACAGAGGCAGCACTGCCTGTAAAGGATGTTAAGGAACATTTGAGGATTTTTTTTGATTGTCTCAATGATCAAGAGGCATCAGTGATATTACATGAGCGAGAGCCAGGGATGCAACAAGCAGGCCACTCCATATAGTAAGCAACAGTCGTGCATTACTCAGGACTCTCTGCTGGGCATTCACATAGGTACAAAATCTGCCATTAATGGTCTAAGTCTAAAAACTGTAAGTCCATTATATAAGTAAGCCAAGTATTTTTTGCACAGTTTTGGCACAATTTTCCAGGAATACAACTACTCTGTAAGTTGAAGGAAACTATAGTCTGTCTGGAAATTTATCAGTTGCCAGCTACCCTGGGAAAAAGCAACAGTCCCTAGGGCAGTGGTTGTCTAAGTGCGGTCCCAGACTGGCAGCAACAGCCAACAATTGGGAACCTTTAGAAATGCAATTCTCAACACCGCCCTCCCGCCCCCCCGCCCCCCAGATCTACTGAATCAGAACCGCTGGGGATGAGGCCCATCAATTCATGTTTTAATAAGCCCTCCAGGTGATTCTAATGCTCAGTGACATTTGAGAACCACTAATCTACACCAATGCTATAGAATTTGAGTTGCCAATCATACACCTGTATGAGCAGGCACATTTTGAAATAGTATTTTATTATAAATTGCTTTTTGGTTTCTTCTTTCTATTCCAGTTAGATCATTACATCAATTTGGGGGGACATAATTGGTATAGGAGGTTTTAGCATGAATGAATTTGAATTCAAGATTTTGAAGAGAGCATAACAAAATATTTGTTGCAAAAGGGAGCCCTGGGAAGAGGAATTAAGGGAGGAGCTGAGCCCACGCACAATAAAAACATTGATACTTATCTAGATTTTATAAAGTCTGGCATGTATTCATTCATTTATTCAATACCTATTTATTATTACATACACCAGAGGCAAGGCAAGAAAGCAAGGCCTGTGGCAACAGATCCCTGTGAACTCCGGCAAGTAAGGTCACCCACATCAGAAAACCATAATTCTCAAAACCAGTGGCTGGGAGAGTCCACAGCCTGCATTCAGTCACATCTCAAAGTGACACTCCTGATACCTATACTTGAGACTATAGCTAATGCTGATATTCAGTCCCTTCCCAGGGTCCCTCAAAATATACCCACTGCCTCCAGTGTCCCAGGACAGCAGCCCAGATTCTTACAGCAGGGTTGGCCTTTGATAGCAATGTAGAGCTGACCCGTTAAAATTGAAAGCATGTCATCAAAATTTTAAAATTTTGTGCAAAGGACATTACAAAGAATGTATAAAGAAAATGAAATGATAAGCCCCAGAACAGGAGAGTTACTTGCAAATCATATATCTGGACATATCTAGATCATATATCTAGTATACAGAATATATCAAGAACACTTACAGCTCAACAATAAAAAGACAAATAACCCAATTAAAAATGGGCAAAGAATTTGAATAGACAGTTCTCCAAAGATAGATATACAAATAGCCAATAAGCACAAGAAAAAAGTTCAGCATCATTACTCATTAAGGAAATGCAAATCAAAACCACAATAAGATACCATTACTTCACATCTACTGGAACGGTCAAAATAAAAAAGATAATTACAGTGTTGGTAAAGACGTGGAGAAACTGGAACATGTGTACAGACGTGGAGAAATTGGAGCTGGTGGGAATGTAAAGTGGTGCAACCACATGGAAAAGAGTTTAGCAGTTCCTCAAAAAGTTAAACATCATAAACTCTATGGCCCCACAGTTTCATTACTAGGTATATATATAACCAAGAGAAATGAAAACCATACCTCCACACAAAAACTTCTACACAAATGTTCAAAGCATCACTATTCGTAATAGCCAAAAAGTGGAAACAACCCAATGTTCATCAACTGATGAATGGATAAACAAAATGTGGTTTATCCATATAGTGGAATATCATTTGGCCATAAAAAGTAAGGAAGCGCTGACATGTGATACCACATGGATGAGCCTAGTAAACATTAAGCTAACGAAAAGAAGCTAGATACAAAAGACCACGTATTCCACATATTATACATGAAATATCCAGAATAGGCAAATCCACAGAGACAGAAAAGTACAGTTAGTGGCTGCCCGGGGCACAGGGGAGGGGGAATGGGGAATGCCTACTAACGGGTAGAGGTTTCTTTTTGAGGTGATGAAACGTTCTGCAGGTGCTATGGGTGCACAACTTTGTTAATCCACCAAAAAACACTAACTTGTACACTTTGAAAGGATAAATATTATGGCATATGAATTTTATCTGAATAAAAATTAAAATGAAGGCAAATGACATAAAACACAATTCCAAAACAGATCCTAACTACAAGAGAAGCCCTCTGAGGGTCAAAGCAATGAAAAGTCCAAGATCAGAATTCTCTCTCAGGCTATGCAAAGCTCTTTTCCAACCATGTTAAAGCCAGAGGTTCTAATAAAAAGCTGACTCCATGTGACTGAGCATCAACTATGGGGAGAGGGGATGGGAGGAAAGCCTTACCTGTAGGAACAAATAAAGTATGTCCCTGCTTTACCACACATTTGTAGCATTTATCCACCTTATCTCCAAAGAACACCTCACTCTGGGTCACAGATGAACTCCAAGACTCATAAAGTGCCAAGTTTTCATCTGTTGGCTTTATCAAATAGAAAATCTTCTCACCCTAGAAGGAAGTAATCACACTATTTTTGAAAAAAAAAAAATGCCACTCTTAGGATGGCCTACACGGATCAATATTCCAATATAATGATCTAAATTAAATTAGATAATTATCAGATTTTTTAGGCTCAAGAGGACATCTTTCACAAACTGATCAATAACTATTGCCCTTAATAAGCATCTTCACAAAAGCTAAAGCTCCCCCTCCAAAATATGACCAGGAGTCAATAAAGTAGCATTGGAGAAACAGTTACAAGAGAGGAGGGTAAGCATCACAGACATCTTACTGATCTCATTTTCACGGTAGGGAAGTAAATACATGTTAATAGGCCCAGGTCACAGAGTCATCTCTGCAAACTTTGCCCTTGCCCCTAAGATCTATAATATGATTATTTTTTTTAAAGACCTGTAAATAAACTTCCTTTAATTAACTAACCCTTTGCCTTCTCGTAGAGAAGAAGAATGGGAGCTCAAGGACACAGCATCGAATACAGTCCAGAGCACTGCTGAAACACAGGCATTGTGTATGGACCAAGGTCTGGTCCTAGACCAGCACTGTCCATAGAACTTTGTGTGATGATGGGAATGCTTTATATCTGTGCTATACAATACGCCAGTCATAAGCCACGTGTGGCTACTGAGCACTTGAAATGTGACTAGTGCAAATAAGGAACTGAATTTTAAATTATATTTAATTATAATTATTTAAATTTAGCCACATGTGGCCAGTGGCTACTGTACTGAATAGTGCAGTTCTAGATAAAGCAAGGTCAATATAAGCTGCCAAGAAGAATTAGTAGTTTCATGGGCATTTCTGACTTATTCAACTAGCTGTCCTGGCCTACCCTGAAAATCAGAAGCAAATATTACTGTAATTTTGCTGTAATCCAGTATTTGATTCAGGGATTAACGGAAAATTGACTAGGGCAAAGAGGAAACAAAGAGACAAAAGGCTACAAGAGACCAATTTATAAGATGGGGACAAAAAAAGGAAACTAAATATAAATTAAAAACTCATGGTGGCCCCTCCATTACTTGAGATTTAAAAAAACAAAAACAAAAACATAATGCTTAAAGGTAAAATGCTGGATCCTATTTAAAAAGTACAAAAACTTCCCTCTTTATAAATGTCATTTACAGCAAATAAATGCATTCCTGGAAAAATAGGACTAAATGTTTCTGTCAGTGAGAGAACAAAGAAATACCCCAATCTTACCCAGAGGACATGGTACCAAACTGAAGTTCCACCAAAGTCAATGTGGAAATCTGTGTAGCTGTCTTGAACTCCCATTAAGCAATATTTCTGAACAAATGGCTTGGGAAAAACTGAATCATCTGGCCAATAATTTTCCACCCAGGAAAGTTTTCTGGCTATATCAGGGACCTCCACCAATTCAGACATCCTTTAAAAAAACAAACACACATATACACACATACCCACATCATGCAAATTAAAAGTTCTTAAAGTTTCATCTCCCATCTCAACCCAAACCAAGAAATTAAATGGAACTCCAGGTTAACAACAATACTTAAAAGTTTAAAATTCATCATATTTCTAAATATTCTTAGTGCGTGCCAAAGCAAAGTGTACAACAGTGCTATTACCGGACCACTTTAGAAGTCATAATTAGGTTTCTTACTAAAATAAATTTATCATTTAACTACATTTAGCTAACACTGAGAAGACTAAACCAAAATGTCCAGAACTACTCACTTTGTATCTGAAAATTCAAGGCTGATCACATTTAACACTTTTGGTCTGTTAGGATTCGTGAAGTATTTAACATAATTGTGAAGGGTCATCTTGCTGTCTGCCTGCCTTGCCACATCAATGACATCTATCACTTTGTCACCACCTGCAGAGAAAAATTATAGTCTTATTATCAGGCTTAAGAGTTACATCAATAGATGCCTTAAACAAAAATATTTTAAAAACTGTATTTACTTAAAGCCAACCATAAAACTATGTAGCCTAGACAAAGATTCTGCCTGTATCCTTACTTTTTAAGTCCAACTGGAACTTTTGGAAAAGGGGGCCACTTTTCAGGGAAATAATAAAGCAATTAAGACAGAGTTACTAATTAACACGAGAAAACTTAAATGTTTACGAAGTTTTCTACACACTAATGATTTCTTGTGTGCACTCACACTGACAAAAATGCATTATATTGGTATGTGGGAACTGTGCCATGTGCTCTGAGTTTCCACGTCCTCATGCATAAAATGAGGGGACTGACTTCGTCCTTTCACTTCTATAACACCTAAGATTCTATCATTTAGAAAAACCAGTCAGTCACTGTGGAATTAGTGAACAATGTAACCATGACAATTTCTGCTTGCCAGGTAGTGTCTTCTAATATTCTGCTTCAAGAAAAAAAATCAGTGGTTAGGAAGCAAAAATCAGTTCATATTAATGCATGTGAAACGAGTTCTCAATTGGGATTTAGAATTTTCCTAGAAAACCATCAGGCATCTCTCGCACATCACTGTACTGTCACCCTAGAAAGCATACCCAGTTTTGCAATGTCCTACAAGACAGACAAATGGAATTCAAAATATGGCAATATTTAATCAATCTGAGAGAGAAATCAAATAAATGCCATTTTCTTACTATAGTGTAACGTTATATTAATGCACTGCCTAGTAGACTTTATTTTATACTTAAAAGGCAAAACAGTTCTGTTAACCGAAGCATTTTGCAGGGCTAAAAAGTAAACTATCTAGGCGTTGGACTATTTTTTCCTAAACTTATATTACACTAGCCACTTATTTTACAGTGCTACTTATGCAAACAGGCTCAGGTTAAACCTCAGCCTCATCCCCTAGTTTATCAAATAATTCAGAATTAGCTGAATGTGAAGTCATGACATTAAACTGGGTTTCCTCAGCGAAGCAGTTATAAATGAAAACTGTCACCCAATGGCTCAATAAAGGGACAAGTTCTCAGACATTTTATACTCAGGAGATAATGCACTGCAGTAAATGTACAGTTCGGAGTCAAGGTCGATTTGAGATCTAATCCTCAAAAAAAATCTCTATCTATAGCTGACATGGAATGAGATCTACATATAGTCAGTTTTAACTATAGATACCATGATGAGAACGAACAAAATGACTGAAAATGTCAAGAAGACTGCAACAGAGAAATGGTTTTCCCCCTTGTTTCTTATACCTTTCTGGGCCTCAAAATCACACACTGAGTCCAGACACCATGAAGTGGCAATATCAACAAGTCATGAATATAGAAATGGCTTGAACATGGTCTCCTCTTTTTTCCAGCCTTTCTCTAGGTACCAGAGGTCAATGATCCTGCTCCCGAATGCTACAGAGTCCTAGAACCAGTCCAATTTCCCAGTGTCTTCCTCCTGGTATCTGTAGTTACGCCTCAGCAACTATTTCTCCTAAGCAAGTACCAGAAAATTTGATGATAACAAAAAAAGTGGCAGGATGAGGTTGAATAAATAAGAACAGATCAGGTGTTTCATTCTCTTTTTCTGACAATTGTAGGTCTGCTCAGAAGAAACAGTTTTCGACCTAGGTGATACTGAATTTCACTTTCCCTGACCCATAAAACTAAACTAACATCTCCTCACTCAACTTCTAATGTAATTAGAACAATACTACTACTACTTTTACCGCCATTTTCTCAAGTACTTAAAGCAATCAAGTGCGTACCTACATAGCGTTCCACATCCATGACAGAAAAAGTAGGTGGAGGGAGCCTGAGTCCTAGATCATCTAATTTGGGGACCATAATAGGAACTTCAAATCCATGTTTCTCCAGGTATCTTTGTGTCAGCTGGCTGCCATGCATCTTTACAATGATTTCATCGGCACTAAGGGAAACATAAGAGTAAAACGTCATCTTTGTTGGAAAGTTCACTTTAAGAAAAATAGTCTGGTAATGGGTTAACTCATATACTATATTATTGTCTATATCAGCAGTTCTCAACCTATCATACCTGATTCTCCTTTCTAGAACAAATGTTTTATCAAGTCCCTTTTACTATCCTAAAGTAAAAGTCATAGATAATTACTTCAATACCTACAATTGGAAAAATATATATGTATTATATTAAATGCCTTCACCAAAACAAGAGAAAAAATTAGTTTATAGCAAAATATATATTTCAATATGTAAATGTTTAGATAACTACACTAGAAGAGATAATATAATAATAGAATGACTACAACTTGTTGTAATGAGTGACTGAATTTAAGAGAAGTAACTAGATCAGAAGCCACTAAATACAAGCTGTGCAGGAAATCAGAAGAGCAAAAGGTAAGGGGGCACGTTAGAATAAAACTTGGTGTCAGGATAAGTAAAACAGAGAAGATTCTATCTGGCTATAAAATTCTACACAAATATTTGTTAGACATTTCAAAGTCTCATGGACACAGAACAATTCACTGTTGTCTTGCACAACAGAGGATGGCTAGCTCCCATGGTCCCCGTCCACTGAGACAAATGTCGAAAATGAACTCCCAATTTATCTGTTACAACCAGTATTTCGTAAGTTTCAGCAAGTGGTCACCTTAAGCCACTTTTTAAAAAGGGATTCTCAACCCCAGCTGCCCACTCTCATGAGTAACACGTCATAAGCATCACACTTAAGTGCGGTTTGTCCCTTTCCATTGTCCTCTAACCATAAACCAAAGATCCCTTTAAATGGGGATGTTCTAGATTTTATCTCCCAATTGCTCAGAATGCAGCTGTTATACCTTCAAAAAAGAACAACACTTGCTTTACAGGTTAAAACACAACAGTTGCCATTTACACAATCAGACCTTAACTGTCTTGCTGTCACCTGCAGCCTTGGCATCAAGAAGACAAGAGATACTGGTTCTCTGAATTACTGGGTTCTGATCTGTCCACCCTCTCAATAAGAAAAGGTCAGTTTGAAGCTCCCCAAAATGAGACAGACTTTTTCTGGATAGTCTTATATTTGAAGGGTTTAGATCTCCTTCATCTGACTCATTGAGTTCTGTACTGCTTTTTAGTTTCCCCACAAGCATCTCCCAGTTGTCCTCTTTCCCCAAACTCTGAGAATCAAACAGTTCCCTCAACTCCAATCTGAGGGAGAATTTCAAATCACTTGTACTTCTTGATCTTTAATGTTTGTGGTGTTTTACTTACCCTGTCGATCAAAAATATATAAATACAAGTGCTTAAAAATATAGGTACATCATTATTTGCAAGAGAAAAAAATTGGAGACAAACTAAACATACACCATAGAGGGATGGTTAAGTAAATCATGGTGAATATACACAACTGCATACTACACAGCTGTTAAGGAGGGAGGTAAATTTTTGTATACACAGGGAAAGATACCGATGAAATAGAATAAAAAAAGCAAGTTGCACATCATATGCATAACATAACCCCATTTTTTAATTAGATGCATATATATATACACACACACATCTACACATTTATATACATAAATACTTTAAATGTAATCATTTATGTAGAAAAATGTCTCAAAAGGCTCACCCTAAGTTTAAAATGAGGGGGAGGAGGTGAGATAACCCGTTCACTTTATTTTATACACTTCTGTGTTAATCACATCACGTATGTGTAATTTAATTAATTACTGTCACTCTATATATGGTTTTAAATGATGTGAAGGTTTATGGAGTTAAACAAAATAAAACCAAAAACCTTAGATTAACGGTAATTAGAGTTTAGACATTTGTGACCATCCCTATAACCTGCTCTCCTCGGTTATTACTTTGGTACAGAGGCCACAGGCAGCACCAGGCCAGCGTTTTTAACACTGTTCTTTCAGGTCACAAGCCTATTTGAAAAAAATAAAAGCCACGGCTCCTCTTCCTGAAAAATGCACGTTCACATATTGACACTAAACACTTTATACAGGTTTAAGAAACTCACAAGCCTCTCTGAAGCCAGTTCATAGACCCAGGCTGAAAACTCTGGCCCTAGGCTCCAAACCAATCCAGGAAAACAAACATTCTTCCAACCACTTTGAAACTGATAAAAGAGAATATTTGAGACAAAGACCTTTAATATCACAGAAGTCATGTGGAAACCACTGTGGAAAGCTCAGCAGACCTGAGGGAGACAACACTATGTGCGTATCAATTATATGTTTCTGTTTAAGGATTAAGGGGGAGAGGGATAGACAGGAATGTTAGACTGTGAAGAAACAGCAAGGGTTTTATAGTTACAGGATCTGAAATAATTCCTTAATAGGCTGCACGTGATGTTGAGATTTAAATTTAAATTGTGCTTCCCCTCTTTAACAAGCCTGGATATGATCTTGTGTAAAAGGCTATTAAGCATTATCACTTTAAATAGATGTCAGGCAGCGAGCAGGAAATGATCTAAATTAGCATGATTAAATGCTGTGTAATACTTTTGACTCTCTCTGAGCCACAGAGAAGTCAAACACTTCCCATTATCTTTTAAAAATCAAAAAGCCCAGTCCTGCTGCCACCAGAGAGGCTGAGCAATGGGTATGGGTACCTCTGACAGACCCAGAGTGGAGAGAGAGATATGAAAACAACACAAGAAAAAAACAGAGTTTGAAAATCCGAACAGGTGAGGTAAAAGGGGAAGACAAGCAGCTGTTGCACATCTCGGGGAGCCCAGTCCTGGAGACAACTGCCTTAGGTGGGCATATTTCAAATTTTCTGGACGGAGATCCACAGTTAATGTATTTTTACAAGGTGCCCCCGTACACATATGTATAACACGACAGGTCCATGAAACTGTGCTTATTTACTCCTATTACTTACAATGCGCCACTGGTTTCTATTTCATGAAAAAAACAAGAGTAAAAAGCTGAGAATGGGTGGCAACCTGGAGTTTGAAAACATTGCTTTAGATGATGCCACTTTATTAGGTAACAGTCTCAAATTTTCTTTGGTGAGAACAAGTTTCCATACCTTGGGAAGACTCGAGAACGTAATTCCTTCACAAAAGTCCTAGTCCCAGCCTGCACTGGTTTGGAGCCGTCATCAACTTCTGTGTAGTCATGCCTGTGCCAGTTCCTCCTCTTTTTCACTGAGTTTTTAGGAGATTAAAAAAAGAAAACACTTGTGATAACTGGTGATACCACGTACTTCCTAAAAAGTATATTCTATATGATCAGAAATAATAACAACTGTAAGTGCAAAAAAACACTCCCTTTTTAATTCATTTCCAGGCTGAAGCAGTAAATTTTACTTTGTGTAATGCCACAATTATAGGCGATTAACTGTGAATCTTTAAAAATCTACTCTTGTATGTTAACTAAGTAGAATTTAAACAAAATTCTGAAAAGAGAGCATTAAAAAATGTTTTTAAATCTACTTTTTATTTCAAAAAAATTTTAAATCAGCAAATTCAAATTAGCAGATGGAGCCCATTACAATATCCACACTTACACATATTATAAAATATCACAATTATTTTAAATCATGATTTTCACTAGACCATGAAGTCATAGTATGATTTTTATGAATCATCCAAGTCACTGATCCCACATCAGATATCTATTTTAACAGCACAGTTCCCTTCTCTTTTATGTCAAGATCTATCCCCAAAATAAGTAGGCTTAGACTGCCACAAAAGAAGAGCAGGTGGCTTCCTCATAGTTAAAGGAAGGAGGAATGACGGAACAAATAACTTTATGATTAGTTCTAATGCTCAGATCCTGTGATTCTACAGCTCTGGGCGGCTACAATCTTGAAGAATCATGGCAATCAACATCAGGAGACTTGGACTGGACTCCTAGTTCAGCCATAACTTACCCTGCAACCTTGGGCAAGTCATGTGACACGTCTGGGTCGTTTCCTCAAATGGTAATGAAGGTAGGGGTGCTGTCTTCCTTCCTTCCTCCCTCCCTCCCTCCTCCCTTTCTTTTTTTTTAGGAGTGCTATATTTCAAACCATGCTGAGGAACCCTTAATAAAGGGGAAGATGGGGAAGAGGCCACAAAAGAAACTCTGGATCTCATTCTGCTTTCCACCAAGGCAGCACCACCTACAGCCCTTTCGTGTGTTAGCAATGTAAGATGTCAGTTTTACATCTTTTCTTAAGTTTGAAAATCACTCTTAAGGGACTCCTGGGTGGCTCAGATGGTTAAGCATCTGCCTTCGGCTCAGGTCATGATCCCAGGGTCCTGGGACTGAGTTCCACATCAGGCTCCTTGCTCATTGGGGAGCCTGCTTCTCCCTCTCCCTCTGCCCCTCCACCTGTTTGTGCTCTCTCTACTCTCTCTCTAACAAATAAATAAATAAAATCTTAAAAAAAAAAATCACTCTTAAGCCTAAAACCTTCATGATTCTGGGAAATGTACTGAAGTCTACAACTAGCTTAGAATGCATCAAAAAATAAGATGGATAGATACACAAATAGTGGGATAGTTACACAGACTGTGGTAAAGCAAATAATGTAAAATACTAATAGTAGAGTCTACATGGTGAGTTTGGAGGTACTCCCTACAAAAGTCTTTCAACTCTTCCCATATGTTTGAACATTTTTCTAGTAAAACATGGGGCAGGGGCAACTCTATGAGTCTAAGTTATTCCAAACCTTCACCCTAAAAGATCATCATAATAAAATTACACTGGATCCTCATATGGATAAGGAGAAGTCACACTAAATCAATAAAGGAGGAAATTGGGCTTATTCATATCTGAGGGTTTAAAACAAGATTCTCAAAATAATTCATGGCAGGGCGCCTGGGTGGCTCAGTTGGTTAAGCGACTGCCTTCGGCTCAGGTCATGACCCTGGAGTCCTGGGATCGAGTCCCACATCAGGCTCCCTGCTCAGCAGGGAGTCTGCTTCTCCCTCTGACCCTCCTCCCTCTCATGCTCTCTGTCTCTCATTGTCTCTCTCGCAAATAAATTAAAAAAAAATAATAATAATAATAATTCATGGCAGTCAAACCCTCAATATGGAAAAGAGTAAATCCCATTTTTTAGAAGTCTCATGAGAAAAACTGAGAATCATAAAGCAACCTTCCTAGAAAATGCCATTAAGGCACCCTTCGTGTGTTATTTTCTCTCATTTAAAATCACTTGTAAAATTCAAGGGTGTTTCATTCCAGGCTTCCGTTCTACATATATATAGATACATAATCCCATTTTATTTTCAACTGGGATCATGATGTTCATCCTGCTTACCTTTCTTATTCTATCATGAGCATTTTTCTCCTTATTAAATATTCAAAAGCAATTTAAAAGCAGCCTAGAATTTTAAGACATAGATATAGATGCATCACTTTATAATCCTTTTTTTGAGTCTTAAGCACTTAGCTCATCCTGAATCTTTCTTCAAACAAAGTTGAGATTAATATTCATATACATAAATCTGTTTCCTTCATTAATTCCTCAGGATAAATTCCTAAAAATGCTAGAAGAAAGACTCAATATTTTTAAGATACTTGCTACATATTGCAAAACTGCCTCCAAAAAAGTGGTAGGTAACTCACATTCTTACCAGTATATATAAGCAGCCTATTTTATAGCCCTGAGTCAACAGTGAGCATCATCATTAAAAAAAAAAAAAAGATGGGTGCCTGGGTGGCTTAGTTGGTTGAGCATCTGACTCTTGATTTCAGCTCAGGTAATGATCTGGGGGCCTTAGGATCGAGCCCTGCATCAGGCTCCCTGCTCAGCAGGGAGGTCTGCTTGTCTCCCTCTCCCTCAGCCCCTCCCCCTGCTTGCACATGTTCTCTCTCAAATAAATTCATAAATCTTTAAAAAATTAAGTTTAATTTAAATTTAAATTAAAAAAAGAGAAAGAAAAGTTACCCATTTGATAAGTAAACTACGATATTATATTGTTTTAATTTTCATTTTGGCAGAATAGATTAGAATTAGAATAGATTTGGGATTGGACAGTTATGGGCTCAAACTCCAGCTCTGCCAAATAACTACATGAAAGAGCTAGTTAGATCATTTTTCTCACCTCAACGTGTTACAAATATCAAAGGAAATAACATAGGTCAAGTACTTCTTGGCATAGTTTCTGGGGCATCCAATAAGCTGCCAATTACTTCTCTTTCCTTTTCAATGAGCAGATTTGCATAATGTTAACAGAAGGCTACAAGTGTCCTGTTAGGCCAACATGCTTAACACATAAAATCAGCCACTGCAAGAAGCTGACTGAATTTCTTAAAGGAAGGAATATTCTAGTAGTGGTCATAGGGAGAGAAAATTTTGAGTTTGGATCCCATTTGCCTGAGGAACATTGAGGTATGTGTGTAAGTATGGGGCTTTTTTGATACTTGTCCTTGAATAGAGTTCTTAACTCCCATTAAAAAGGTCAAATCTAAATTTACCAACCAAGTGAATATTATATTGCCTAAATAGTATCTACAATAAGGATTCCTGGGAACTCTGAGAGAACAGGAAGCCCTAGGTGGCAAGCAAGGGAGGCTTAACAGCAGAGGGAAAGGGGCCAAAAGGAATGACCCAAGTTGAGGGTGGAGGGTGAGAGGTAGAGCGGTGAGCCTTAAATCAAGATAAAATAAATTACTGGATCTTGGACATTTTCCTGTGGGTATTTAGTGTTGGACTTTTGCCCAGAAAATAACCAATTCCTGATCTTATGTTATTCAAGCAAGAGAAGCATACGAAGGGCCACACAATAGTCAAGCTTCTCTCTGAAGCACCATTATTCAAAGTGCAGGTTGTGATCCATTATGGATTATGAAATCAATTTAGTGAGCATGACAAGCTTTTTAAAAAATTAAATCATATAGGAAAAATAGAAAACAGAATGCATCACGTATCAGACAGTTTTAAACATGACACTGTTCCATCTCAGTAACCCACATAATATTTCATAGAAATTAAATTCAAATTATTTCATTTGGGGATTACATAAATTCTAAACTAAAACTGCTATAAATTTTAGTTGTTTCCTTTCTTGCGGTAACAACCCAGTATTATTTATTTCCTCCAAGAATTACACTTGGTCAATAATTATTCCAACTTATATACCACATATTTCACTGCTACACAAAAGAAGAACCTTTAAAAACATTTATGACAATAAACTGGGCAATTATACTAACAATTCTATCAATTTGCTAACCTCAAATTTTATACTGTGTAACTAATAAAATGGATAACCTGTATTGTAACATATTATGAAATTTAATGTAATATTTTGATGTATTCTTACAGCTTGAATTTCTAAATCTCTTACAAAGAAATTAGGTAAACTGCTAATATTTCTAACAGATCAGCAGTCAGTTGATAGTAAGTCTCTTTTACAGAACTACTTCCCCACAATCTCAGATAAAAATTTCTATCTAAAAAAAAAAGTACTAGGGGGACTCCTAGGTGGCTCAGTCAGTTAGGAGTCTGATTCTATCTCAGCTCAGGTCTTGATCTCAGGGTTATGAGATTGAGCCCCGCGTCAGGTTCTGTGCTGGGCATGGAGCCTGCTTAAGACTCTCTCTCTTCCTCTCTTTTTTTTTTTTTTAAAGATTTTATTTATTTATTTGAGAGTAAGCGAGAGAGAGCACA